GTCTTATTATTCAATGGAATGGCGTCATAATTTACTATGCACTTCTTTGATATTATACCAATCTCGGAGTCCCCTCACATAGGATGCTTTGGTGTTGGGAAATTAAAACGCAATGGTTCTAGACTCCTTGAAGTCACTGCACTCCACAACCTGTGCATCTCTAATACATGTTATGGAATGTCTTTCAGGAGAAGAATGTCATGGCGACATCCTAGATCCAAGGATTGGCATCAACTGGATCATATCCTAACAAGAAGAACATTCCTTAGCAATGTCTCTCTTACTCGCTATTTCCACAGTGCGGACGGTGACACCTACAATGCTGTGCTCTGTTCCATAGTAAAGCTGAAACCAAAATAAACCCATCGGTCCAACCAACCAGGCAAAGCAATGAGCAACACAACTAAGTACAGTAATCAAGATAAATTAAAGTCAATCAGTATCATATGTAAGCTCAGTTTATTTTTCCCACCAAATATATTAACCTTGCTTTATAATACCTTAGTTCTTCCCTACTTTCAGTATTGTAATTTTATTTGGGCGCGCGTCCGACTACCGTACAAATCTAGAAAAGCTTCATATACTGCAGAAACGTGCTGCCAGAATAATTACTCACTCTCACTTTAGAGAACCATCTGAACCTCTTTTTAAGCAACTCAACATACTCAATATTTACGATCTCCATAAAACTCAAATAGCAAGATTTTTTTTTTTTTTAACCGCATCCGACATTAGTTGGTGACATATACAAAGTTCTTTCTTCAGCTCAGTCGATCCATCATTGCTGTCTTCAATTCGTGCCCTTCGAGACCAGTGTCTGTTTCCAGCACGTTCTTTAATGTTGTCGTGGGCCTTCCAACTTTTCTGTAGGCATCTGGCTTCCAAAGTAGAACCCTACCGGCTGCCTCATCGTTTCTTATCACGTGACCAGCAAGAGCAAGCCTACGTTGTCGAATGATGGAGGATAGACGTGGATGTTTACCGTACAGAGACTTGTTGGAGTGTGCGACTACCAGGAAACATTTTGAACAATCCTTAACATTCGGGTGTATGTTCCATCAATTTTTTTAGTAAGAGCTTTTAGGTCCATGAGTCGGCTCCATACAGCAGTATGGACTCTACAGTTGATTTGAAGAGTCTCATTTTTGTTGTTTTTCTGATTGATGCCGACCACACTTTTGACAATGAGTGTAATGCACCCCACGCCTTACCAATTCTTGTGTCAATGTCATAGGATGTAATTGTTTACCCGCCGAGATACAGATTCTAGTGAATTAATGGACACTTCTGATGTGGAATTGAGGTGAATAAACTTTGTCTTTTTGGCATTTAAAAAGAGACCAATGGATTGTGTTTGTTTCTCCACCTGATGAAGCAGCTCTTCAGCATTCTTGACTGTATTTTCTAACAAGGCAATGTCATCAGCATAGGCAAGTTCAGGCAAGACGTCTTCATGATGTCTTCTGCTTAGGCGTCGCTTCAGAGTCAGTCCATCTGATGGTGGAAGGGCTTTTCTCAATGCGTAGTCTAAGCATATAATGAAAATAAAAGGAGCTAATGGATCTCCTTGAAGGACTCCAGTGCTAATAACAAAAGGGTTAGTATTGCCTTCTGGAGTAATGACAACGGCAGTTGTGTTAACATACATAGTTTTTATTGCTTTGACAATTTCAGGAGGGATGCCATAAGCAGCGAGAATCTTGAACATTAGGTTTTCATCGATGGAGTCAAATGCCTTTTTGAAATCAATGAATATTAGCACCGCTTCCTTCTTATGGTTTGATATCTCTTCGATGATCCTCCTCAAAGCAAGAATGTGCGCCGAAGTAGATCGAGACTGTCTAAAACTATTTTGACCAGAACGAAGAAGTGGATCTATGATAGGTCTGATTCTATTTAGTATCATCCTGTTGTAAATATTTGCAGCTACAGCAGTTAAACTAATACCCCGGTAGTTATTACAAAGCGTGAGATCCCCTTTCTTTGGGATTGGAACTATCCCTGAGACTCCCCATTCATTGGGTCTATTTCCCTTGAAGGTCTCAACACAGAATGATCTAAGAACTGTACTTGCATTCGGGAGCTTCCAAAGGTCGAGTGTTAGACCATCTAAACCCGGAGCTTTCCCTGATTTCATAGCATTCAATTCTTCATCAACTTCTTCTTGGGAAAATGGTTCTGTTTTAATTCGGGGATTGATGTCAAACACAGGATCAATGATTGTATCAAGGCCGTCACTGCAGGCAGCGTTTAGTAATTTCTGAAAGTGGTTTTTCCAACTTGTCAGTCGATCTTCACCTTGAATATAGATGACATTCTTTTTTTTGCCAGAAAGTTCCTTGATGATATGCCAAGCCATCTTGATGTTGCCAGTGGGATTATCAAACTGAGAAAGTGTTCGATTGATACGGACCTCCTCAAGGTTGTCGAAGGTTGAGCGTTGTCTGGCTTGGTAATGTTGCACATTTGGAGTAGTTGCATTTAAAGTTTCTTCCCTAACTCGTTTCATGGGAGAACTGTCGGTAGTAGTTATTGCATGTAGTGGACGACTAGGAAGGAGCTCCATACCGATGCCATTGCATACAGACACGAAAGCAGAGTAGGATCTTTCAGATTTTGGTAAAGAATTAAATTTGTAATCGATTAGATCATCAACAGTGTTTGATAATTCAATGTCTTCTGTCAAAGCGAGCCAATTAACAGTGCCAATTGACAGTGGCAGTTACTATTCTATGGTCGCTGCCAATCGGGTCAGATGTAAATGTGCTTGGCATTTGTTTAGCGTTTGCTAAATAAAATGTAGTCGAGTTGTGCAAGGCGACCTGCCGGATGTCTCAAAGTCCAAAGCTTACGCATGGGTTTTTGGAAAGTTGTATTACCAGCAATAAGATTGTGCTGTAGTAAGAAATCCTCGAGTAAATAGCCATTTCTGTTCATCGATTGATGAAAAGAGAATTTTCCAGCGAGATGAGCATTGAACTCCCCACCAATCAAAAGCATTGAATGTGGTGGAACAGCGGAAACTGCAGCACTCAAGTTTTGTTAAAATTCCGCTACTTCCTCGTCTGGTAGATGATTATGGGGTGAATAACAGGAGATAATGTAAGTTTTAGGATTTCCCTTGAAGATAGCAGTAATAATACGGGCACTAACCTGGTAAACTTTAGCAAGTGAATGAAGGAGATGAGACTTTATTACTATTCCAACAACTCCAACAGATG